TATGTGGTTTCTTAGCTGAATCCATGTGATTTTTTTTTCCACTTGAGACTGAATTCAAGGACACACAACCATCCCCAGCCCTATTTTGTATTTTATTTAAAGACAGGGTCTCACTGAGTTGCTTAGTGCCTTGCTAAAAGCTGAGGCTGGCTTTGAACCCGAGATCCTCCTGCTTCAGCCTCCTGAGGCGCTGGAATAACAGGTGTGCGCCACGGCACCTGGTCTCTCTTAATCTTTAACAGTTTCTTGGTCTGGGCTTTTTTCTTTTTTAATGACTTCTGGACTTTTAAAAGAGAATAAGATATGACAATTATTTTGTAGATTATTCTGCAGTTTGGACTTGTTTTGTGTTTCCTTATGATTAGATTGAAGTTATTATGCCTATTCAGTAAGAACACCGCGAAGTGATATCTCATTCTTCTGAGAGAGAAAGGACGCTGGTCTGTTTCTTTGCTAGTGATATTAACTTTGATCACTTGGTTAAGGTGGTGATTATCAGGTTTCTCCATTGTAAAGTTATTAGTTTGCTTTTTGTAACATCAATAAAATCCATTAGAAAGAAATTTAAGATACAAAGAGAAACTTTATTTCAATAAACAGGCTACAAACCCACAGAAAACGAACATGTGTTCTGAAAGAACACAGGCAGGCACTGGCTTATATAAAGTTCTGATCCACTTTCCCACCCAGGGGCGCTTTGCTTGCTAAGAAACCCAAGCTTGTGGGAAGTGCTCAGTCCTGATTGGCTGATTTTAAGTTATAGTTCATTAGTCAGCTCTGGCAGTGCTCAGTTTTGATTAATTGATCGCGGGTCACCGTGATTGATCAGGTCCAGTGGCAAAATGGACCTGGCAGTTGAAACAGGAATATTCCCAGGCAAAGGTAGCAGAGTTGAGTTGCGGTTCTCCCAGGAAGAAGGAGTACACACGTGAACCCCCGCTGACCCCACACTCAGCCTCCATTCTGAGTTTGGGCCCAGTTACCCTCTAGGGACCTTTCTGGGAGGTTCGGCTTTTCTTCAAGTCACAGTCATTAGGAACTGTGCTGTGGGAGGCTGGGATTATGTAGACATTTTACTCTCCATTAAACTTACATCTGCTAGCGTTAACACTGGTTAATGACGGCTTGACTCTAAGTTTGGTGTTTGTCACATACTGATTTTCCAGCGGCTTTATTCCATCCATAATGATTTGTTGGCGTTCTGTAAGAAGAAGCTTTCCTTCTTTATATTACAAACATAAGGAACCCTGCACTACGGTCATCCTTTACTTTCATTCTCAAATCATTTTGTTTTTAACTGGTGGGAATTCCTTCAGGTTGCCTCCTGTGTTCTTTGGACATTTCCTAGTCTTTAAGCACTTCTGAAGTTTCTGGAACAATAAACCTTCCAGTAAGGAAGTTTGGACCTTCCCTACTCCAGCACTAGAATCAGCCATTTCTTCAAAACGTCCTGCTTTTTTGTAGTAGAGAGTGGTGTTTAGGAACTCAATAGCTGGTGATCAGTGTGCTCATTGTCATTGGAATGTCATTGACCCCAGACTCCACGAGTTGATAAACCTAGGGAATGTATGTATGTGTGTGTACTTGCATGTATTCACACATATAAATTGCCCCATACATATAATTCTATTAAAAAATCATACTGATCTCTAGTTCTCATCAACACTGTAGGGTTCATTGCCCTTTTCCATATTTGTGACTTTGTTTTCTGACAGTCCATATTTACTTTGTTATAACACATTGAGAGTGTTTTCATTATGTTTGTAAAAAACAAACCTACCTACTAACTAGAGGTCCATATTTGCCATTCTTTTTATCTTTATTTGGAGGCTACGTAGTTGAAATATAGTTTTGCTGTTTCCATGGGATTGTGAACAATATTTTGAATTTTGCCAGGTTCATTTTTTTCTCTTTGTATTGTGTTTTCAAGTCTGTTAATATAGATTTCATTGTTATTTTGGGGTCATTTACAGAACAAAGGCAAAACTGGGAGAAAAGGCCACTCAGAGTAGTGTGCTCCTCCTCCAACCTTTCCAATCCCTTTTTATTCCTATTTCTCTTCCTTGGGTAACCAATCTCACTAGGTTTTGGTGTATCTTTTCTTGGTATTTCTTTTTGCAAAGATAACCAGACTCCTGTATATTATTCTTATTTCTTTTTTCAAGTACAAGGTGTAAAATCCCAAATGCTCCACTGCTGCAAAATGTGTAACTTTTTGAGCCAACACTATGTCACAAGGAGAAAATACCACACCTGATATCATGAAGGGTCACAGTCAACACAGGTATGCTAAAAAATTCTATAAAATGACCTTCAGGTTGTGTGCATAGGGTTTACAGGAAACAGATTAATTTCATGTTTAGACTTGGGTTTCTTTCCCAAGATATCTTATTGGGTGTATGCCAATATTCCAAAGTCCAAATAAATCCAAAGTCTGAAACATAATTTCTGATTCCAAGCATTTTGGAAAACGGATACTCATCCTGTGCTGTAAAAATTTTTGTTATCTTTGCTTTTTTTTTTTTTTTGAATTTAATGATTTATCTAGCCATTGTGCTGGTCAGTTACACGAGCTGCCAGCTGTACAGTAGTCCATTGTACCCGTGTGACATTCTTCACATTTACATCTCCTATATTATAGGCATTTTGGTAGTTTCCAATATTTTGCAATTCCAAAGCATTATTACAGTGAATAATCTTGTGCATTGTGTTAGTCAGCTTTTTGTAGCTGTGACATATACCTGAGAAAAGAAAGGAGAAAGGATTTATTTATTCATTTATTTATTTGTACTGGGGATTGAACCCAAGGGCTCTTAACTACTGAGCATCTCCAGTCTTTTTGGGGGGAGACAGGTTGAGTTATTTAGGTCTTCACTAAGTTGCTGAGGCTGGCTTTGAACTCTCCATCCTCTTGCCTCAGTTTCCCAGCTGCTGGGATTACAGGCATGCACCACCATGCCTGGGAGGAAAGATTCATTTAGTCTCACAGTTTCAGCTAGGCGTGGTGGCACATGCCTCTAATCCCAGTGGCTCAGGAGGCTGAGACAGGAGGATGGAGAGTTCATAGGCAGCCTCAGCAATTTAGCAAGATGCCCTATATCTAAATAAAATATTTTTAAAAAGGGTTGGGGATGTGGCTCAATGGTTAAGCGCCCCTGGGTTCAATCTCTTGTACTAATAAATAAATGAAAAATACATAAGCTCATAGTTTCAGAAGTTTCAGTCTATGGTCATCTGGCTCCAAGACAGAAATATCATGGCAGAAGGGGATGGTAGAGGACAGCTGCTCAGCCCAAGGCCCAAAGTAGAGAGTGAGGAAGGGGCCAGGGGGCGAGATGAACCCTCCCAGGGCCCACTTCTGGTGACCTACTTTCCCCATCTAGGTCTCCCAGTGTTTCAACAGTAAAGGTTTTAGGGTATGTCTTAATAGTTGGTAGAGTCAGACCTCCTGGTTAGCTTCTCTTTTTCAGGTATTCCTAACTATTCTTACGTGTATTTATTCTGTGTGAATTTTAGTGCCAGTTTAGGCTCTAGGAAAAAAAAATATTTTGACATTTTTGTTGAAATTGCATTCAATTCATAAATTAACATGGAGACAACTGACAGATTTATCATATTGAGTCATCTTTTCCAAGAACCAAAGATGACTGTTCAAATCTGCTTTTGTGTCTTTCAGGAGAATTTTGATGTTTTCTTCATACAGATTTTGAACATTTCCTACCAAATTTATGACTAAGTATTATCTTCTTCTTTGTTGCTATTGGAAATGGGCTTGTTGCACCTTATATCCCCTACCTGGTTGTTATGTCATTGAAGGCTGTTGATTTCTGTAGGTTAATCTTATGTCCTGTTACATTACCACATGTGTAATACAGAGTATATTCTGTCACATTCTACTCTATCATCTCACATAAAGAGAGTGTTGCTGTTCTATTTGAATTGATTTCTCTCCTTTTGGGGGCCTTGCGCGCTGGGCTAGAGCTCTACCCCGAGCTCTGGAGAGTCCAGGATGCTCCTGTAGCTCAGGCGGGGCCCAGAGTCACAGGGCCAGGTGAGGCTCAGCCCTTCCTTTGTGGCAGAGTTTACTAAAAAATTCTATAAAATGACCTTCATGTTATGTGTATAGGTCGTACATGAAACAGGTTAATTTGGGGAAGAGATGGGGTGCTCTGGGCTACTCATTGCACTCCCGCATTGACTAGCTGTGTCCTGGTCCCAAGCTTTGGTGGTCCCAAGCGGTGTGAGGGGAAAGCACCTATTGCTCTCCAGGCCAGGGGTCCTGCAGGCGCCCCCACCAGGCAGGGCCCTGGGAAGGGCGACCCCGGGCGGAGCTCCCCCCAGGCCACCTCTCTGGGGTCCTCTCCAGACCGGTGCCCGGGTGCGTGATCCCCGTCCAGGCCTGCACCCGGCGGTCCCAGGCCCGCGCTGCGCTGGGCGCCTTCGCCACGGGCACCTCGCGGCCCCGCCGGGCCCCGTGCTTGGCCGCAGGTCCTGCCACATGCTCAGGCTGTCCCTCGAGGGGTCAACGTGGGGTCACTGCTGCGGCAGCGCGACGGGTCCTTCTCCCCCATTTCCCCAAACGCTTGCCCAGGCCCGGCCCTGCCCAGATCGGCTCAGGCCACCCTAAGCCTCAGCCGCGGTGTGCCCCCGGCGCGGCACCGCCTACCACCTGCGTGGGAGCCGGGAAGCCGGGGCCGGCGCCGCACGGAACGCGGGCACCAGGGCGCCCGCTGGCGCCGCCTGCCGCGCGGGACCGGCACTGCACCGTTAGAGCACCGCAGATCCCGCCCCGTCGGTACCGGTACCGAGTCCTCCTCCTTTAACCAGCACCTTAGTCTTTGTGGGATCTTTAGAATTCCTTTGGGCTCCAGAGTACAGATCCAGGGCTCCAGGGATCTGGGGAACTGAAATGTCTCTGGCTGCGTTCAGCTCTCAGCCTGGGGGCTGAGTGAGAAAGCAGGTTGGTGGGAGGACAGAGGATAAAGGGAAAGGAAAACGAATGCTTTAGAATGAAGTTTTAATCTAATGAACTTTAGATGGAAATGTTAAAGGGTGAATTTTTAAAGGTTGAGATCATAATTCTCACACAAATGGAAAATAAACATGTCAAAGATTTCATTTACTCATTGATTAAGGAAGGAGCCAGTAAGATGTAAAAACTGGTTCAAAGGTGAATCCAAGGATCAGATACACATTTGGGCACTCAGAAATGTGAAAACGAAGTTGTCAGTAGGTACCAATCTGGTGAGTATCCACGAGGTAACAAGTGCACCCTCACTGTGCAAAATTTACTTGCATCTCCATGGAGATGAATCATTTATGTCACTGTCAGTTTCCTACAACACAGAGTTGTCAAGTGGCTCAGAGACAGGAAAAGTACAGACCCTTCAATAATCAGATAACCCCTGGAAAGGGCCTCTAGACAACCTCTTGTTAAATCAAACATTTTACAGTTGCTAAGTAGAAGATCTGCAATTCACACCAGATCTATGCATCTCTGTGAGTTCCAGCTCCTTTGTCTGTGCCAAGCAGTCCTTGGACAGTGAATAGTGTTTTTCAGCAATGGGTGGTATTGACCACTTACTCTTCCATTTAATTAAAAAAGTCCTTGGCCTCAGGCATTTCCTTTGGACCCTGCAGCAACCTTGTGAAAGATTCCAAAACCTCCACCCATCATTTGTTGTGTTGAGGGAGTTTTCTCCTCTGTGCTGGTGTTCTTGGAAGTCTTGAAGGGCTTAGAGCCTGGTCCCAGCCCTGGGGAAATGGCAGGAGAGTCACAAGACCCCCGCCCCCCCTGGGTTCTGGAGTGGGTGAAGAGACTGCTGGGGCCCAGGCTCTGGTCAGTTCTTTGCTGTTTGGGGACGCTGGTACAGCCAGATGATACCTTCGTCATGTAGGCGCTTCCAGACAGCTCTCTCTAACTTGAAGTCATGGTTTATGTAAAAGACCACTCGTTTCCATGATTTGTCATAGTAGTGATCAGAGAAACGCTCGTGGCCCTCGGTGATGAAGCCATAGGCACTCACCTAGGTAAAGGTGGGAGGAGAAATAGGATCTGTGGTGGCTGTCACCCAGGCTTCTTCTCGTGGGCTGACTCTGTGGCGGGGTTATCCTGGTTCTCTGTCTGGGGGCCTGGGTGCAGGTGCTTTGGATGCACACATACAGTCGTGCTCGCTGTCCGTCCTGGACAGAGGTGTGCACCCGGACCGGCCCCTGTCCTGTGCTGAGCAGGCCTAGAACTAGCCCAGAGCTATTCTCCAGTTACTCCTGTTCCTGAAGTGGAGCCTTACCTTGTCACAGAGGTGCAGGGCAGTGAGCAGCAGGAGGGCACCGGTGGTGGGGCGGTATATTCTCCAGTGGGAACCGTCCAGGGTCTTCGACCTCAGAAACCTGTGAAATACCCCAGATCCCCAACTGTCAGGAGGCTGCACGGACGAGAAGCCCCTTCGCGGAGTCTCTGCTCTCACCTGTTCTTCATGTACCGGAGAAAGTCTGGATGCAGCAATAGGTATCTGTCCAATTGCAAGGCTTCCCGGAAAGCTTCCTGGGGCCTGTGCCTGTGGTCAGGGATGATCGTTCGGGCTCGGTTACTGGCTCAGTGGGGGCCAAGTCAGGGTCACGGGCATGGCTGGTGCCCATCTCCAGGTGGCAGCCAAGGCTGTCCCCACCTGCCCACTGCTTTGTAGCCATTCACTTCATGGTTCAGCCTGGGAGGGGGGTGGTGAGGGGCAGGAGGAGGGAAGTGGGTACCTGAACCAGAAGAGGCTCTTTCTCTGCAGGGTCTGGTTCAGGAGCAGGGCTTCCAGCCACTCGTAGTCCCGGGTGCCCTCTAGGAAGTGCAGATAGTGGATGTCCTAGAGAGCAAGGACAGCGAGATCCTGGGGTGCTGCTTGAGGACCATGGGCTGGGCAGCCTGGCTTTCACACCAGAGTGCCCTCTTGCTCTCTGCTGACCTGGTGTGGATGTCCTCTCTGCCCTTGTCCTTCATGTGAACAGAACCAGAACCAACCGCAGACTCCGTCCAGACCCGCGACGCTCATCTCCCCTCTCACCCACGTGTCCCCTATCCAGAGTCTGTGGCCAGGCCAATTCCTTCTCTCTGCTCACCTCCCCTACAGGCACATGCCGGAAACCCCGACTGCCCAGTATGAGAAGGGACTGGGTCAGGGAGAAGGCGGTGAAGCCGTAGAAGGATGTGCGGGTCCCCACATCCTGTTCATAGCCTTTAATGACAGCTCCACTCAATCTGTACAGAAAGACAAAATGAGAAAGTACTGTGAGCAGAGAGGGAGACGCATGCAGTTGGTGTGGGAGGACGGGGGCCCAGGAAAGGGAGAAGTGGGGGAGGCAGTGGCTATATACTGGAGAGCCCTGGGTTCCACCTTGTCCAGACAGAGGCATGGGACACCCTGTCAAGTCCCTCAGAGCAGCCCATGTTTGCAGGAGAGGGCTGGCCAGGGGAGGCGGGGTGGGACGCCTTACCGGAACACATAGTCATGGCTGTCTATCTCCTGGCCCACGTGGGAGTTGTTCAGGATGCCCCCGTTGCCCACCACGGCACAAGTGACGCACCGCGTGCTCCCGGGGGGGAGGCCGGCCAGGAGCAGCTGCTGCTGGGGCACCGGAGGGAACCTTGACACCACCTTCTGCACCACTGGAACGAGGAGGGGTGCCTTCAGAGCCCGGTCCTCCCAGGTCTGCTGGCCCCAGCCTCCCTCGGGGTGAGGACTTACAGGAGTAGTTGAGCTCCATGAAGCCAAAGGGCGGTGCAAAGTGCTCCAGGCGGTTCCACTCGCTCTGGTTGAAGTGCCTGGAGTCCAGGAAGAGAGTGAGGTTGGGCAGAAAGAGGTTCTGGAGCCACGATGAATTGGCGGCTCTGGTCTTCAGAGAGTCAGGGCAGGTCTGTGTGCAGCAGGACACGGAGGTCAGGAAGAAGAGGCTGGGGAGGGCCTCAGTGGGGAAGGCACTGCCTCTGTCCCCTCTTCCAGTCCCAGGCTCTGCTGACCTTCCTCTCCCTTGTCTGGGCCCACTGGGGTCCTGAGGGGACCTAGGGAATGCGCATTCTCTGCCCTCAAGGCAGAGGCACCTTCGTGAATGGGAGAGGAATCGTGTGGCCTGTGTCCAGTGTGCTGTGGTGCCAGGGTTCAACTCCGTGTGAGAGTAGACACATCTGAATGCTGCCCCCTGTCCCGGGGCGTGGGAGGATAGCGGTGGGGGTGGCTGAAGGGGAGTGAAGGCTTTAGAGGCAGCTTGGCTGGGAAGACCAGGCAGAGGGTGAGACTTGGTGCTGTCTCACCTCCTGCCTGACGACCCTCCAGCCGCCTTCAGGACCTGCCGGGAGGGCCCTTCCTCACTCACACCTTCTGGTGCCGGGGGAGCAGGACTCTGGGGCCTGCTGTCCCTCCTCCCCCATGTTGGCTGTCATAGGAGGGAGGGGTATGTCGAGAGCAGGAGGTGGGCAAGGCGAAGCCGGTGGGTGCTGCCCAGCAGGGGCTCCAGAGCGGGAGCCCGGGGCTGGGACTCACCGTCTGCAGGCTCCCCCTGTCCAGGCTGTATTTTTCCTCAAAATCCCACCGAGGCTCAGACTTGAAGTTGGCGGCCTTCAGTCTCTGGCTTCTTGGCATGGTGGGGCTTGGGGAAGGGGCAGGCGGGGCAGCCAGGGTGGGCTTCTTCTTGGCCTGGACAGCTGCTGTCATCCTCGCCCTTGATCCTGTGGTCACGCTCGGTCTCCTCATCGCCCTCGGTGTCGTCGTCACCCTCCGTCTCGTGGTTGCTCTCAGTCTCATCGTCGGCCTTGGTCTCGGTCTCGTGGTGGCTCTTGGTCTCGTCCTCGTTGGTGCTGCTCCTGTGGTGGTCAACTTTTCCTCCCTGATTCCTGGACTGAGCCTCTGGGCTCTAGTTGCCACTTTGCTCTGGGGCTTCACTGTCCTTGCTGAGGTCAGCGTCCCCTTCTGGGCCTCTCTTCCTCCAGCTGTCTTCTTGTCCTCACTTTGCAGAGCTAGTGCCTCTGTCCTGGTAGAGGCCCGGTCCTTGTCCTGACCTCTTGGTGGCAGTGTGTCCACCTTGGCTGTCTCTTCTTCCTGGCTTGTAGGTGAGGCTGTGCCAGGTGCCTGGTGGGCCTCTGTCCTCCTGCTTTCTGTGGCGCTGTGGGGTATGGGCCAGGGGTGTGTGTCTGGGGCACGGGTCTCCTTCGCTGACTTTGCAGGGGTGCTCGTCCTCCATCCCATGATGGTCTTTTGTATCAAATCCCGAAACCTTTGTTCAGTGCTCTGTATATACTGATACCTGTGGAAGAGAGAACTTTTAGCAAAGAGTAGAAATAGTTCAGAAGCATGACTAGTGATAACGATCGTGCCTCAGGCCGACTTCAAACTAGTCTCCACAGGAGATGAAGGGGACGGTGTGGTCATCCGCAGAAATCACACCGTGCGCTTTGGCAGTGCACCTGGAGACTTACCTGTGGTCAGGAGAGAGACCTTGGCAACAGCAAGCTTTGGGGTGCTGGCCAGATGCCGAGACGGGAAGTGCTCCCAGGCTGGACCACCCTTCCTGCACCTACACCTGGGCCCCAGAGAAGACTGCCATTCTGGCTATGAGTTGCAAGAATGGAATGGTTCTGTCACCTAATATTTGTGTCATTTGATTAACTTCCTTTTTAAAAAATGAAGCACAGGTAAATAAGTTACATAACATCACTCACAAGGAAGTGGGAGAGGCACATCACGTACAGACCAGAGCTGCCAGCCTTCACGTCTTCTTTCTTTCTTTTGAGATGCTGGGGTGGAACCCAGGGTCTTATGCATGCCAGGGGAAGCGCTCTGCTCCATCCCCAACCTGAACCCCAGCCCAACTTTGAAAGGTTTGCCTTACAGACTAACTTCAAATATTACCGAGAGCCAAACCCTTAAAAACAAACTTTTGCTTGTTGGCATCATTAGGGAAAAAATATTTTCTCAATGCGTATTTGTCAAAAGCCCACTCTTCATGCCACATCTCACATTAGATGTTGGCGATTGCAGGTGGAAGGTCTGTCCCAGCTGTGAGCAAGAGAAAGCCTAGTAAGAGCCAGGTAGGAGACACCTGCCTGGGTGTGGGGGCTGATGGAGCCCTTGGGAAGGCTGCCCCAGGGAGCATGGAACTACTGGTTGGCTGCTACAGGGCAGAGTGGGGGCAGGGATGGAGAGCCATTGGCGTGGTGTGTGGGATCCTGGATTTGGAATTTGCCATTTGTCCACTTGTGCAGGAGGAGCTATCGAAGACTTCCAGATGGGAGGTAGAGAGGGTCCTGAAGGAGGACGGTGCAATCTGAGTTCCATTCCAAAGGCCGTTTCTGGTGGTAGGGGCTAGCGTTGTGGCTCAGTGGTAGAGCACTTGCCTAGCACGTGTGAAGCACTGGGTTCAATCCTCAGCACCGCTTATAAATACATGAATAAGCTGGGTGCAATCGCACATGCCTATAATCCCAGTGGCTCAGGAGGCTGAGGAAGGAGGATCAAGAGTTCAAAGCCAGGGCTGGGGATGTGGCTCAAGCAGTAACACACTCGCCTGGCATGCATGGGGCACTGGGTTCGATCCTCAGCACTACATAAAAATAAAATAAAGATGTTGTGTTCACCGAAAACTGAAAAATAAATAGTAAAAAATTTTCTCTCTCTCTCTCTCTCTCTCTCTCTCTCTCCTCTCTCTCTCTTTAAAAAAAAAAAAGTTCAGGGGCTGGGGTGGTGGCTCAGTGGTAGAGTGCTCGCCTAGCATGCATGAGGCACTGGGTTCGATCCTTGGCACCACATAAAAACAAACTAATGTATCCACCTAAAGCTAAAGATACATAAATAAATAAATATTAAAAAAAAAAAAAGTTCAAAGCCAGCCTCAGCAACTTAGCAAGGCATTAAGCAAGTGAGACCCTGTCCCTAAATAAAGTACAAAATGGGGCTGGGGCTGGGGCTCAGTGGTTGTGTGCCCCTGAGTTCAATCCCTGGTACCCTTATCCCAAAAAATAATAAAATAAAGGTCCATCAACAACTAAAAACATGTATTAAATAATTTTAAAAAATAAAAAAGGAAGACATATTCAGGATGCCTGGTCTGACTTCTGGCATGCAAGGGTTTAGCTCCAGGAATCATGTTTCCTTTCTCTTTTTGACTTCTACGTGAGACTGTGAGAGGTGTCAGCCACTTACATGTAACTTGGTTCAGGTGTCTTGGGAGAAACCTGAGTCTCTGACTTGAGGGGCCCCTGCACGACCCAGATGTTTGCCAGGGTTCCTGGGAGCCTTGGGAAGAACCTTCCTCCTATGGATCCTGGCCACGGCCCAGGAGGATTTCCAGGTCCTCAGTTCCTGCTGCTGTGCTCTGTGGCTGACTTTCAGGCCTCCCCACTAATCCTGGTCACATATGTCCCAAGCTCCCTCCTCCTGCTGGAAGTGTTCTGAGCTACGTTTTGTTAACAGACTTACCAAGGCTACCTGGAGGAAGAAAGGAGGAGCATGAAGCCTGCAGCCCCGCAGGCCCGAGCAAGGGTGTGAACACTTGGTTTATTAGCTCATAAGACAGGAGAACTCTCCCGAACTTCCTGGACTCTTGGTTTTCCTATCTGTAAAAATGCGCTGCTGGGAAAAGGCTTTGGGGAGCATGAACTGACAGCATGTAAAGGCACCTGGCAGAGGATGCAGCCCAACAGATACAAGTGCCCTCCCTTCTTCCCCTCAGGAGATTCAAGGTCAGGTTTGTAGTGGGTCCCAGTTCAGCCAGCACAGCTAGGAGTTTGCTTGCCTGGTCTCCGGTTCCTCAACTCCCCCACCCAGTCCAACAGTTATGCATTCATTGTTTGATTCAGCAGATATTTATTGAGCACTGCACAAGCTACTGGGGCCTCAGCGATGAGCTCAGCTAAACCCAACCTTCCCCATGGAGCCTGAGATATAAAGGGGAATGACAGATAGTCGCACAAATAAGTATCAAATTGTAATCAGGAGCTGTGCTAGGAGAGCCGGGAACAAGGGGGGTGCCCTGGACCTCGATGGACTCCAGCTCTACTTCCTGCAACAAGGTTGATGCTGAAGCCAAACAGGTGTTGATTCTGTCACATTTTGAGGTGCCTGTGTGTTCAGGGAAATGCCATCTCTCAATGCCATCTTTTTTATTCTGTTACAAACTCTGAGGAGGCAGAAGTCACCCTGGCAGCCCTCACATCATGCTGTCACAGTGCCACATCATGCCACATCAGGGCTTATGAAAGGCCTTCTGAACCCAAAAGGAAGTGGATTTAAACAAAAGGATAATAGAATATGAAATATGTACACAGGACACGAGAGAACTCTCACTCAGCAAGCTTTTACCGAATGTCTGTTCTGTGCAAAATGCTGTGTAGTTACCAGGAGCACAGACCAAATAAGGCATGGACCTTGGACCCATGAAATGTCCAGTAATTGTTATCAGAGGCAGAAGACAAAGGCATCCTTATTCTTGGAGAAATACAGGGCTAGTTCCAGACAACAGGTGAGGCAAGCAGATTACCTTAGCTAAACCTTTCCTCCCAAGGCCTCCCTCCAGGCCAGCCAGCCCTCCTGGGCTCCCTGCCGGCCTTTCTCAGCCAGGAAGATTCGCCTTTGCCTTTGTCTGGTCTTCCTGGAGGGATACTCTGGGTCCTGACTTTGAAACTGAACTGGGGCCTAAATCCCTTCAGGGTGCCATCAAAGGCGGGCCTGGTGTCCTCACTCCAGGGGTCCTGCCTCCTTGGCACCCCTGCACTTTGAATATGCCCCTGTAGAAGGTGCCTCTTCCTTTGTTGTGTGGCCCAGAGGAGTCTTTCAAATGTTGGGTAGTTCAGACCAGGAGGGAGAGGCCCTGGGGCAGGGTTGATGGAAAGGCTAAGAGGCTTCAGCCCTGATTCTTTTTCATTTCTCATTTTCTGGCCCTGGGTTCAATCCCCAGCACACACACACAAAAAAAAAAAAAGAAAAAAGAAAAGCAAAAATGGGGCTGGGGTTGTGGCTCAGTGGTAGAGCACTCGCCTGGCATGTGTGAGGTCCTGGGTTCAATCCTCAGCACCACATAAAAATAAATAAAAGCTGCATTTACAACTAAAAACTATATTAAAAAAAGAAAGAAAGAAAAGCAAAAGGGAAACTTATTCCAAGGTAAGTGTCTCAAGGAATCAAGAGCAAGAAGTGGGGGCGGGGGTTGTGGCTCAGAGCACCCGCCTGGCACATTCGAAGCCCTGGGTTCTGTCCTCATCACCACATGAAAATAAACAAAGGTTTTTTTTTTTTTTTTAAATAAAAAGCAATAAGTGGTTGCTCCCCCAGGAAGCCTGGAACCCGAGTCTCCCTCTGGCTCTGTTCTCACTTCTGCCCCCTCTGCGTTGGTTTCTCTCTCTGTCCAGTGAGTCAGCGCTGAGTCTCCTCTCTCCAGCCCACATCATGGATGAATGTAGCAGCCACCTGGTAACCCCCGTCCTAGGGGCTTGACTCTTTGCTCCCAGATTTTTAATCTTGGTAGAAGGATTTGGGTTCCATTTCCTACCCAGTGGTCTGGGTCACACAGTATGTGACATCCTAGGGTCCACCCTCTGCACAAGAGGATGACCATTTCAAGAGGAAGAGGGGGTTATAGGTTGGGAAGACACCCCCGAAGTATCCATTATGAAAGAATACCCCTCAGGACACCCCGGAAGACCCAGCTGATCAGGCTGTGTCCTTGGTGACTCACTCGGTGGATGGAGGGGGAGGGTCGAGAGCTGCCAGGATGGAGCTGACACTTGTGCTGAACTGTCTGGGCTCTGACAGTTCAGCACAAGCTCCAGCCCCAGCTGTTGGCTTGGTTCATCAGGCGGCTCTGGCAACCAGTGAGGCCCCTTGGTGGATTCACCCTAACCCTGCAGCTTACTCCTCCCCTAGAGGTCTCGGAGAGTTTTTTCTCCCAAACTCTTAGCACCCTGCTTGAGGAACTCTGGTGAATAACGTTTTCCCAGCCTGCACATTTTCCTGGATGTTGCTGTCTGGCCAAGGGCACCAATAGGCAGCGGCTGGGGAGAGGATGAGGCGGGTGGTCTTCCGCACCGCAGACTGTGCAGCACGGACAGCCGGCCCTCTGCACAGTGGTCACACGGCCCCTGAAGACATACAGCGTCCCTCTCTAGAATCGGTCTGGAGGCAGGAGTGGCCTAGTGACGCCCAGAAAAGACAGTTCTGTTTGCAAACGCTCCGGTTGCTTGAAAACTCGTTGACATTGTACAGGAAGTCGCAGCAGTAATCCAGGGAGTGACATAATTATGTGATTTAAGA